AGCCTTCAATAGACTTTAAATCAAATACCATAAACTGGTTTTTCACCCTCCTCACAATGGAAACTGGATTACTCATGGCAGACCTCTGACAATGATAGGCAAAAGACACACTCCCCGTGTTTTAAAGCGATGGGACAGCATGCTTAGCGGGTTATTTTTTCTTTAAAAAATCTGTCCACGTGGGAATACACGTTAAAAGTGAGGACTATGGTATTTCTCATACCTGTTACCCTTACACCCCCATCCTCATCCGCCTACCTCCTAAATTCCAACCTTATCCTACTTCACGAGCAGATATTGTGGAACTCAGAAACTGCTTTGCTGTGGAATCTTAATCAAAACTTTCTGAGAGAGATCATCATTGGTTTCATTGGGTGTTCCTTTCCTAGGGGGTACATCTAAATCACCTTGAACCTAGCCGAATGCAGTTAAGGCTAGGAGGTCTTTTAATTTCTTTCTAAATTACTGCAAGACACTGATACATGTAATGCAGCTGACAAAGGGAAGTTCTCGTTACAGCAATGTCAGCAATAAACCTGCATAGATGGCCGATATCAAAAACAACTGGAATAAATATAGAAACTCAAGAGCTGATATTGAAATACTACAAATTGCCTGATCAGCTCTCGAAACTGCATATTAACCCTCCTGGGGGGGCGGGGGTATGCAGCTAATTGAATGAGCAAAACAGGACAGCCAGGAAACAAGAAGATTGGAAAAATGATTATCTGCATTTTACATTAAATAATAAATACATGTATCAAATAATTTGTTTCATAAAAAATTAAAAATTAAATAAATTGATAAAGTTAAAAATGATGCGAGTTCGATCCTCTTTATATTGAAGTTCATGTCAGATTGACTACGGTATCCTTAAACAATCTGTTTGATCAAAAGTAAATGAGCTATCCATGTTTTTGTTTGAAATTTGTATATTTTCTTCTGTGGGTTTTCTTGTAAAGTAACTTGTGATTTTTTTGCTCAGAAACAATTTAGCTAAAATTCAGAATTAAACATTTTCTAGCTAGGAAAACGACCACTTCTTCTTCAATATTTATCAGATACGGTGTTCAATGTTTCCTTTAAATTGGGTATGCCCCAAGGAGTAAGAAATAGAAAGGAGATACAACCGACGCGGCCCGCCCTACCATATGATTATACATGCAATGCAGACCGGTACAAAATTTGTACAAGAAATATTTTTCTGATGTACAATTACCGCGTAAACAATAACCTATTCTGAATATTTCTTATACAAATGAAATACCGTCTGTAAAGCATTTATAATCATATGGTAGGGCGGGCCGCGTCAGTTGTATCTCCCTTTTATTTCATACTTCTTAGCATGCCCCTTTTAAATGGAGTGCCACTTGAAATTTAACGACAGTCTATTTAAAAGATTTTTCTTTAGGGTCGTATTCTTCTACATTTTGATGGTTGGGAGATAGATTACGATTACTGGACTAAACCTAGCAGTATGAATGTCAAGCCTGTTGGTTGGTGTGCAGCTAACAGAAAACAACTTAATCCACCTAAGGTTTGTTTGTTGGTTGGGTCAGGTTTGGTTTGGTTTGATTTGTGGTTTTTCACTAGAGAGAAAAGAAATGGAACTCCTGAACCAATTTGTCTAAAATTTTGATTTGGAAACTAGGAAGAACCTCGGAAATGTTCTTAGCTTGGTTTAATAATTTAGTTGAGTTTGTTGACTTCTAAAGGGAAAGTCTACTTTCAATGCAAATCTGGTTTTCCAGGCTAATATATTTATAATTTCAGGGCAATCATCCGTCAGCATTTTCTTGGCCCGAATATCTAAATTTAACAAAATCTAAACCGGTTCCAGCATGGGCATTCAGGTCAGTTTATTAACTTCCAAATATTTTCTGCATGGGTATTCAGGTTAATAACTATTCATTTCCAAACCGGTTCCTGTATTGGCATTCAGGTTAATTTTTTCATTTACAAACTAGTTTCTGCACAGGCATTCAGGTTAATTTATTTATTTACAAACCAGTTTCTGCATAGGCATTCAGGTTAATTTATTCATTTACTAACCAGTTTCTGCATAGGCATTCAAGTTAACTTATTCATTTACAAACCAGTTTCTGCATAGGCATTCAGGTTAATTTATTCATTTACAAACCAGTTTCTGTATTGACATTCAGGTTGATTTATTCATTTACAAACCGTTTTGGGTTACTTGTTTATACTACTACTAAATTAAAGACTTGAGCATTTAGGTTAGTTTTTATCGCCTTTTTCGTTGGTTTAAAAATGCTTATCAAAAACTACAAAATCTAAAAAAAATATTTTTTTTTATTTTAGGAGTCCAGGATCATCGAGAGATGAAACAGATTTCCAGGAGGGTTTCCGGTTAGAAGCCGTCGATATATATAATCCTAAGATACTCAGGGTATCCAGTATAGCAGCAGTAGAGGTAGGTGGATATATATAATCCTTAGAAACTTACGCAGAGTATCCAGTATATTAGGGGTAAGTGGATATATATAATCCTAAGATACTCAGTATAGTAGCATTATAGGTAGGTGGATATTTATAGTCCTAAGATACTCAGGGTCTCCAGTATATTAGAGGTAGGTGGATATAGTCCTATGATACTCATGGTATTCAGTATATTTGAGGTAGGTGGATATATATAATCCTAACTTCCTAAGATACTCTGGGTATCTAGTATATTAGAGGTAGGTGGATCACTGGATATATATAATCCCAGGATACTCACTCAGGGTATCCAGTATATTAGAGGTAGATGGATATAGTCCTAGGATACTCGGAGTATCCAGTATATTAGAGGTGGTGGACATAGTCCTAGGATACTCATGGTATCCAGTATATTTTAGGTAGGTGGATATAGTCTTAGGGTACTCATGGTATCCAGTATATTTGAGGTAGGGGGATATATATAATCCTAATTTCTTTGATACTCAGGTTATCCAGTATATTAGAGGTAGATGGATAAAGTCATAGGATACTCATGGTATCCAGTATATTTGAGGTAGGTGGATATATATATAATCCTAACTTCCTAAGATACTCAGGGTATCCAGTATATTTGAGGTAGGTGGATATATATAATCCTAACTTCCTAAGATACTCAGGGTATCCAGTATATGAGAGGTAGGTGGATATATTCCAACGATACTCATGATTTCCAGTATAGAAGAGGTAGGTGGATATATATAGTCCTAGAGGGTATCCAGTATAGAAGCAAGTAAGGTAAGTGGATTTACAATACACATACATAGATATACTTGGATATTAATGCTCATGGTATCCATTGAATCTTGTTTTAAATACAGGGTCGTCAGTTTGAGGTACACTATGACGGGTGGCCGGACGAAATGAACCACTGGGTTGACGATGATAGTACAGATATCCATCCTTGTGGCTGGGCGGCCAAAACAGGACATCCCTTGATGCCTCCTCTCACTCCACAGGTTAATTTGTTTTTTTTTTCTGAATTTGATTTTGTAAAGAATTATGTATCCAGGTTTGTAATTTTTTTTTTTTGTAATAACTTATGGAAGATATTTGCAAAAATATGAACTCTGAGGGACATCTGAAAACTTCAAGGGCGCGGGGTCGGGGGTACTTTATCTTGTTATCTTTAATTTTAACACAAAGCTTAGCAAATATTTACTCTGTCTTTTACGTAAGTTTAAATTGCAGGAAGTTAAACACTGGCGGGAGAGAGGAAGTTGTGAGACTCCAGGTTGCCGCGGGATTGGTCATATCAAGGTCAGATATTTTTTTCTTATAACTATTGTTATTAAATCAATATTTTTTAGTGTTACCAAGAAAAATCAAGTTTAAGATTAAACAAAAATTGATTGATTGTTTGATTTGGTTGATTGGTTGATTGATTGATTGATTGATTGAATTGGTTGATTGATTGATTGATTTTAGGGTTCCCGGTACACAGGTCATCACAGCGTCTCTGCGTGTCCTTACTCACCCCAAAACCTGGAGATAAATAGTCATGTCTCCGATAGATTACAGGTAGGAAATATCTTTAAACATGTTTTTTCGATCCTTGTCTGATATGGTAGAGGTAGGTAGAATCAGTTGAACTAGACACAATGCAGTTAAAAAAAAATGTTGAATGAATTTATATTTTTATCAATTTGCAGGGAGCTGACAGAGAACGCAGTGAAGAATATAGACTTCAGTTGATAAAGGTAATTCTTATCTTGATGTTTATCTATTTGACCGGGCAAGTTGGTTTGGGCTTTTTCTAGAGCCTCTTAGGCCCTTACGTGATAACTAAAAAGCAGTGGAATATTGTCGTCTGCAAACTAGAAATATCCCTGAGGATTTGGTATTCAGGGGGTTTCAATCTAAAGAACGAGCGAGGACGACAATAATTCAGCTGTTTAATACTTTTTCACTCAAACTCAATCGCCCAATGTATAATCTTCGTAAGCTAAGCTGATGGGTACCGAAATAAAGTTTAACTAATAATATCGTCAATAAATACATTTTAAAACCTTAAACATATCTAATTATTAAACGTGCTCTTTGGGCTGAAACAAAATTTTTTAAAAATTGTTCCAATAAAAAAGCGACGTCGAATAAACTATCGGCCAATCTGTACCCACAATAAATAATATTAATAGCAACACTAAATCTCTCCTTTGCAATATCCCCTTGAAAACCTTTCCCTTTGGTCTAAGTGAAGATAAATTTTTCTTACCATGTAAGCTTTCAAAAGATAAAATCTCAACTTTGTCTATAAATGTCGTCTTTCATTTTACAAAACAACGGATTAAATACCTACAGTCCGAAATTTTACCAAATATTCTTCATTTTTATTATTGCTTTTAATTGATTTAAAATTTTAACTTAAATGAACTTATTGTGTTCCAATTTTAACCTTGGAAATTATTTCATATGTCCTTGCTGAATTCTGAATATTAGACTCGAAAATACGCAAATTTATTTCTTTAAATCCGCAATATTTCATTTCACCGTAGTGATGGAGGTGAAATGGGAATACACTTCGCATGGGCATCGAATGCTTCTCGACGAAGACAATTATCAATATAATTTCGATCAGAACTCATCCGGAACCAGTTATTTTAGATGTATAAGAAGGCGCCAAGGATGCCCTTGCTTTGCTATCGTTGACGAAAAGCGGAACATTGTGACTAAAGTGCGCAGTTTTCACAATCATTCGAATGAACGTCATAAAACGTTTGCAGTTCAAATGGAGAGAATATTTATCAATGCAGCTGCGAGAAGATCAACGTATTCTGTTGCCGAAGTTTATCAAGAAATATACGATGCATTGGCCGATTCTGGCGTTCCGGGAGCTGTAAGCGCGATGAGAAGCAAGAATGCTTTGGCTCGTTGCATTTCAAGGAAACAGCAGCTACTCCGTTGTCGAAACGTTAAAAAGGTTTTTGTATTTGTTATATTTAAGGTCTAATCATCATTTATACCATAATTTTTATCAAACCCCATGTTACGGTCAAGTTTTGGATTGATCAAAACATTGAATGGGAGTACATTAAGTTCCTAGTCCTGATAAACTGATAGACAATTATATTTTTTTTCTAGGGAGAGAGCGGAGAAGCACTAGGACGAGGAAACAGAAGAAGGAAGAAGAGAAAGTTCTTTGACGAGGATAATCCTGAGGGAGAACCAGAGGAGAAGAGGTCAGATGAAGAGGGGAGAAGTGTCTCAAGGTTGAGTGATGGAAGTAACTCTCCCGTTGATACAATTCGGTAAAAATTGAATATTTAAAATAAAATTTATAATAGAATTAAATAGAATAGAAATAGAAAATCAAAATAGAATAGAAATAGAATAGAAATAGAATAGAANATTGAATTGAAGATTGAATTGAAGATTGAATTGAAGATTGAATTGAAGATTGAATTGAAGATTGAATTGAAGATTGAATTGAAGATTGAATTGAAGATTGAATTGAAGATTGAATTGAAGATTGAATTGAAGATTGAATTGAAGATTGAATTGAAGATTGAATTGAAGATTGAATTGAAGATTGAATTGAAGATTGAATTGAAGATTGAATTGAAGATTGAATTGAAGATTGAATTGAAGATTGAATTGAAGATTGAATTGAAGATTGAATTGAAGATTGAATTGAAGATTGAATTGAAGATTGAATTGAAGATTGAATTGAAGATTGAATTGAAGATTGAATTGAAGATTGAATTGAAGATTGAATTGAAGATTGAATTGAAGATTGAATTGAAGATTGAATTGAAGATTGAATTGAAGATTGAATTGAAGATTGAATTGAAGATTGAATTGAAGATTGAATTGAAGATTGAATTGAAGATTGAATTGAAGATTGAATTGAAGATTGAATTGAAGATTGAATTGAAGTAAGAAATGAATTAGAATTAAAGTAGAATTAAAATTTCCCGTGTTCGAATCTTATAGTAATGCAGAATAAATAAAAAAACTTTGTTACTGGTAACAAATGTTCATTGATTAATTGATTGATTGATTCATTCATTAAGTGTGGACGTTGCTGGTTCAATAACTCGGAGAGCTAAACGAAGTACATCTACAGAGAATAGTCAACACAGTTCAAGATCTTCAGATGAATTCAAGGTATATAGTTTCGTTTTACAGTTTACTAAACAATGTTTTTTATTGGTTTTCGATATATGTCCTCGGTTCAGGTAAAATTAAGTTATATTTGAAGTAAATGCCCTCCTTCCCCCCCCCCCCTGCCATAGAAATTTTACTTCTTTTAATACAAAATGTTTAGTTTCAGAATTCCGGAATTTCCAAAATAAATTTGAACTGTTTTTTTTAAAGAAAAGGATATTTGATATCGTTCATCATTTATTACGGTTTATTACGGTTATGGAATTGGAATTAGTTTAATTAGTATAATTATCAAAGGATGAATTGGATATAAAGGAGGAACCCCTGGACCCACTTCAAGAGGACACGAACCTCCTGCCGACCAAGAAGGAGTTGATATCTGTTGGGATTCAGACCGAAGAGCAACCTTCTCCTTCCCCTCCTCCTTTCTATGAGGAGTGGAGTGAAGGGGTGAGAAGAAGTGTCTGGCAACCAGGATACCTTCCACAACCAGAACCAACAGGTACTAATTATTCTCTAAAAACAAAAGTCAATTTATATTCAAATTTATTTCGTATGGATCCAAATGGTTTCTGTGGCACTATGGATAACATATTAAAAAACCTCCAGAAATAGATTATTTTTTGGGGAAATCCTTTTTTTTCTCACGGGATGGGGGGGGGGATTGGCGCGTATATAGGATTTTAGCAAGGGTGGTGCAAGATATTGTGCGAAGCGCAAAATTTTTTTGTCCCCCCCCCCCTTGAACTTCTACTTCTGCTGTTATTCTATTTTTAGTCTACAACATGTCCCTTTTGTAATCCATTGTAGTCAATTACTATATAATATCATGTATCCCTCTGTATAGTTCTGTATTACTCTCTGAAATCCTGAGAAGTGAGTAGTCTTCTGAAGACTATCATTAGTACACCATCCTTTATATTTTCCCTTAACCCTCCTCAGACCTCTTAATGTAATATACCCCTGACCTTCATGAGGGTGGCGGGAAGACATGTCAAACACTTGCATAATGCATATAGCTATATTTGTTTATCAAATAGGGTGGGGGGGGGAGGAGGAGGGAGATTTTAGATAAAAGGAAAATGCTTTGGTAAAATTTTAGAATAAATGGTACAAAGCGCCAAGAAAATGTTCAACTACTTTTTAAGGGGGAAAACACCCTTTTGAAGATGGGGCAAACTCATTTCTTACCCACCACTCCTGATTTTAACCTTTGGCTATAAATCCCAGGGCTCCCCCCCCCTTTGGATGCTCAGGGGGGGCAAGAGGACTACTGCCTCCCCCTGTATAAGTGCCTGGGGAGGAAGAAAGGTACTGTGTAAAATCTAGCTTGTAACTTTTTAATTAGGGGTCAGTTTGAAATTGGTCGATAGTTTCTTTAAGTAAAATACAGATCCCGTTCTCTCTTAGTTTTTCTGGACCCCTCCTGAGGGGTCACATATAATACTGAAATACTAAAATATATGTAAATTTGTTTAGGAACTCTGGCTGCTAACTGGTCTGAACATAGTAAGATACTGCTAGGGGGTAGAACAGAGAACAGTAAACTAACTTATAACAAGGCAAAACATTGGAATATAAATCAGGTGCACTTCAAGTATTAATTTAAGAGATACTAGCTGAAGGGCCCGGCTTTGCCCTTGAAATTTTAAAAACACCGGAAAAAAATAGGATTTTGAGAAAAAAAATCCTTTTTTTAGCCAATATTTTGCCCAGGGTAACCAATAACCATGGGTTTTCTAAATAAAATTCAGCCAATTTGGTCCAGCCGTTTGGCCAGCTGTAGCTAACATACTGTACAGTGTGTTGTGTATTATGATTATCTAGGTGGTTGAGTTCCTGAATTGTATACCAAACCTGGATTATGAAGAGCTAGAGGAGTCAGTAAGGGAGCAGGAACTAGATGGAGAATCATTACTTATGCTTACGCAGGTCAGGATCATCTATATATATACTCTTGTTTGTTTGTTTATATCCAATAAACGTCAAAACGATTGAACCGATCGGTCCAAATTTTTTTTATTCCACTTGCACTATTTTAAAACTGATCAATAAACTTTATTCGAAAAGAAAATATGAGGTACAACTACCCTAAAAACGAGCGTTTCAAAACTGTTGGATAGTTTTTGCATATATTCCCGAATTGTTGAAATTTAACATTTAGTGGAAGAAAAGTAGATGTTTAATTCAATTATTTCAGAAAAATGTAAAACTTTTGGAGGAACCTTTTAAGTAGTTTAAAAACCTTAATAATTTGAAAGTTATTTAAAAGTTGTTGCCCATCTCACACTCCTTATAACAAGGGGTCCAAATTACAAATTGTTATGTTTCTTAAAAAACATAACAATTTCCTAAAATTAGTATACATTATACGGTCAAGATACTCGAAACCTAATGACGAATATATATTGTTTAGAATGATATAATCCAACTATACTGGGGATTAAACTGCTAAATGATGAATATATATTGTTTAGAATGATATAATCCAACTATACTGGGGATTGAATATACATTGTTTAGAATGATATAATCCAACTATAATGGGGATTAAACTGCTAAATGACGAATATATATTGTTTAGAATGATATAATCCAACTATAATGGGGATTAAACTACTAAATGATGAATATATATTGTTTAGAATGATATAACCCAATTACTGGGGATAAAACTGGGACCTGCAATCAAGATCTACAATGCAATCATGGCTGTGAGAATGCGTAGAGAATAAAACAAGAATTCAGGATAAATATGAATTAATCAAAATTAATAATGCATTTGACTAGCAGCATGATTTTAGTTTTCTGCTTAATCTTTCAACCTTTTAGTTTTATTTTAAACATGTTTTCCTTTGGTTTTTTATTATTTAAATTTATCAATATTTGTCTAGTTTTAGTAAATAGTATATGCAGTTTGATACTAAATTGTAGAACCTTGTTCTAAATAAATTTGCGATTATTTAAGACGACATTCATTCGAGTCTGTTTACTGTACAGTTAAATAGACGGTTTACTGGTAGACTACTGGTAGAGCTCGTAAGCTGGTTAGAGAATTGTGGGTGGGAAGGGGGGGGGGGGGTGCAACATTTCAAGGTTCTCGAGGAATTTTTATACTACCACCGAAGATGTACTTTTAACTTGTAAGTTTTTTGTCTGAAGTTTGTTTGTTCGTTCACGTCTTAGATATAATTTCCAATGACTGCACGTATCAATTTAGTTTTAAACCATGTCCTGAAATCCCTGAAACCTTTCATCTCATTATGATCACTAAAGATGTAAGGAATGTAGCGGTAGATAATAAGTCCCCTTTATAGGTTCATACTAGACTGCTGATGTGCTTCGAAATTAGAGGAGTATGGGAAATAATAATATCTGTCCAAGCAATTATAATTTTTTCAAATTTTACTCAGATAGGACAAGTAGGTTGATAACTTATTTTACTCCTTTTTACATGCAATTACCAGGCTACCAGCTGTTAGAAAACGTTCTATCGTAAAAGAGTTATATATAAAAAGAGTTACTCAAATAATAATTATACACTACAGTGTAACCCATATAGGATCAGACTGTGAAGACGACTTGAAACTAAGTATAACGAATGACGATCCCATATTTAAATTATGTCTTCTGCCTTGAATGTAGTCTCTAAATAGCTTAAATAATGACCTGATAAAGAGAGAAGAAGTTCAAAGCTCAGAGAAATCTATGTATATAAAGTTGTAATCTCTGTATGTCTGTTTGTTTGATTGTCCGATCATAACTCAGAAACCCCTTGACCGATTTGCCTCAAAGATTGATTGGGGAACTCGGGAGACCCACGGGAATTTTCTTAGCTTGGTTTTGAGACTCTAACTTGAGTGGGTCCACTTTTAACGGGGAAAAAACTAAAATTATAATTTACGACAGGGGGCGGGTAAATGGTGGGACTAATTATGACTTTCCTGGCTCACGCTGGGTTCCCAAGCTAGTCATCAATAAAAGGAATTAAGCAGTATAAACTCTGTACAATCGTTTCTAACAACGCTATATCAGTGTATAATGAACACAATTACCTAGATTTGCATGGAAAATGTATTTCTGTTTCTTGGATGAATTTAAATTATATTCTTGTCAATAACTGGAGAACACTTGTCGCATCCTTAATTCCTGGTATGATAACCAGAAAACAATGAAATAGAAAGACGGCATTAAAGAAAACTGAAGTTTATATGATGTTGCAAAGAAAATTGTTTTCCCTGACACATATTAAATCACAAATGTAGTGAAATGGGTCTATATATATGTTTCATGCTCACTGTACTTTTTAAAGTTATAACTTGGTTCTAAAAGTCGTCTAACTATTTCAGAGTTTTCTGTTTCTCCATGTATATCTTCCTTGAATCCTCTTATCTCAGGATTCAGGAATTCTTGATGCTGATCCTTGTCCCTCAATCAGTAATTATCTTTCTTAGCTCACTAATTATCCAGTATTTTTAAAACATTAAACAAATATGTTGTGGGGACAAGCAGCATAAATGTTCAAACAGGTGCAATTAAAGAATGGGAAAGGTTTGTCAAATAAGTTTGTGTATCATGTTTGATATTTTGCATGCAATTTTTAATAATAGTGTTTTTTTCGACGCATCGATAATGCAACCCACCANTATGATTAGTTCTGTGACAATATTTAATGAATTTTGTGATATTGTTAAATGTTAAATGTTTTATGAATTTTGCGAGTAGGTTTGAATTTTGAATGTTTCATGAATTTTGTTATAATGTTTGATTGTTGAATGCTTTATAAAATTTGTGAGAATATTTTTTTCTTATGAATTTAGTGACTGTTAAATGTTAGATATTTTATGAATTTTGGGATAAAGTTTGAAAGTTTTTTTTTGATTTTGTGAAAGTGTTTGATTGCTGAATGCTTAAGGAATTTTGTAAAAATATTTTTTTTATATGAACTTTTTGACTGTTGAATTTTGAATGGTTTATGAATTTAGTGTTAATGTTTGATTTGATCAAATTTGTGATAATCCTTATTTTTGTAACAATTTAATTTTTTTAACTTTAATAATTTATTTAAGTTATACAATATTCTTTAAATATTTACATGATATCAGATGAAAATTTTTTTGACATTTTTATATTTCTTGTTCTTCATTTTCTTCTTGTTAGTACATCCTTCAATCATATTTTGGCTAATTCTGAAAAATAAAAAAATGTTCTTTTGTATATCCTTGTAGGTTGCCACTCTACAAGAAAGATTTACTTTTGGAGGATCTTGCTTTTTCTGAACTCTGAATTGAATTGAGCTAGTTTGCTTTCATTTTTTCTCAACTCTGTATTGTTTGCACAAGTGATATATATTACTTAGCATTCAGCAACTCATTTTCTAGAACATTTTACCTAGGGTAAATAAATAGAGGAGGGGGGAACATCTCCTAGCTCCTTCTCTAATGATGTCTACATTCGACATTGGAAAATTGTCAGTGTAAAGCTTGACATCAGAGATTCCCTTCAATTTTCTTTTCTATTCGATTTTTTTTCCTTCTTGTTTATTGGTTATTTTTTCAACGCTTTGAGGCCTCTCCAAATAGTTCTTTTGACATTTAGTTGTGGATTATGTAGAAGAGAGATAATAAGGTTTGTATGAGAAAGGGTATAATGGATTGCTCCCTGTGTCCTTTGTGTTATAGTCTTTCCAACTAAGGGAAATTTTAAGGAAACCCATAACTGCACCCCTTATGCAAAATGGGGAGTTGTTGGCCTTTAAGTCCCATCAAGAGAAATCTTCCACAGCAGTCCAGTCCTCACAGCTGGTCAAGTAATAAAACGGTATCATTGTGCATGGCTTGTATACCCATCAGGGGTTATACTCCTTCTTTCAGCTGAACCAGGCTGAAGATAATGTTACATGATATTACATTCGCTACTTCCCTGTAGGATACGACACAATGTTTCTTGTATTTTAAGACAATTTGTTGAATTTTCAAAATGTATTTATATATTGATGCATTAATGCAGGATGAGAACCAGAGAGTTAAACCCTACAATCAATCAACATTATATTTACATATAGCTGGTGGAAGGTTGAACCAAACTAGATTAGAAATAAATGATGGAGAACACTTTTCAGTAAATATATTTAAACATTCTATGGTGTCCTCCTAATTACCAAATACAAAACAATGTCAAATATAACAGAGTCATTTAAAAAAGAAAACATGTATAAAATTTATAACAGTTTAGATTTTCACCTACAGATCTTGGAGACACTGGTCAGTGGTCAACTGGTTAGATTTGAATATATATGTATAAATTATATTTACATACTGAAAAATTGAATAGATTTCTAAAATATGAAGTGATAAAAGTAAGATAATACACTAAAAGAAGATTCATGGGTCTTGATTTATTTACGATTTAAGAGGGGTATGATGGTATCCTTTATTATTCGGCTGATAATGACGACCTTTTGTGTCTAGGTATTTTGATTTGGATATATCTTTAACATCGTTGTACTTTGATATTTCAATTTATTAATTTGTTGGGTTTTATTTGGAAGAAACTTGTAACCTTTTAAACATTTAATTTTCTCATTTCTATACATTTCAAACTGCTAAATCTGCAAGATCAAATAATCTATGTTTGAATATCAAAGGTCTACACCATAAGGTTGCTGATAGGGATTAGAAAATTAATTTTGTTGGGAGTAATATGTTATTTTCTTTAAATATTTGAGCCATGATAGTTGGAGTATTTCACTGTTTGTTCGTTTATTGTTTGTTTGTGTACTTCTATATATTCCCAGGCGTGTGAGCTGCTACCCCCCACGTTGAATAGGTCTCATGCGACGTCATAGATGTAACCTGATCACAATATATACAGGGTGTCCCAAAAAACATTGGAATTAAGTGACGACTTTTATATTTTCATCGAACCATGCGGCATTTTTTCATCAACATATTTATTGCCGCATTTCAGTTTCAAACGCCTGGTCTTGAGATTTTCAAAATGTAGTCTACCGTTCAATATTCCAAAATTGACGGAGATATTACAAAATTTGTACAAATTTCAATTTATTTAATAAGCCAAAATTGTCTTAATATCACACACAAGAAAGGCCAATTTATATAAAGCTCGTAAGATGTACGTACTACGTACACCCTTTTTTAAACTTTCTTTTCCATGCATTAAATATCATAAATCAAAGACGACTATCAATTCGTCTGTCAATTCCCATGTTTATTGGGACACCCTGTAGTAAACAAGAGCCGAGCAGCTGATGGATAGATACACTAGCCAGGAAGTAAGATGACCCTAACTACAATGTGAGAGAAGAGGTCAGAACAATTATAAATGTCAATTATTTTCATCTAGGAGATTTAAGTAGGCCTGGGCGAAGAACGTGGAAGGAGAAAAATAGACGGGAAAATCTGCAATAAAGAAATAAGTAAGAAACAATTTCACCTATTTTTGCCGTTGAAAACCATCAACCTTTTATGATAGGCTGCGAAAAGTTCCGTTAAAGATAAAAATTAACGGAAAGTCCGTTAAAGGAAAGAACCGTCAAGTATAACTTCCAAACGAACGGATTGAAAAAAGTAAAATTGTGCCCAGCCTTGAAATAAAGTGGATTTTGCGACAATAAAGTAAATATCCTACTGATTGACAATAAATTTAACTATCTATATGTTTAGCATAACCTTTCTCTACAATATCGCACCAAAAGTATCAAAAAAGGGAGATATTATAATTAACCAAAATATAATTCGTTTAGTTTAGAAGCACACCAATTTCTTAATGTGTTGTGTAAAATACAACTTTGCTCTAAAACGTATAGTTGATACTTAATAGAAAATAATCAAGTCAAAAATGACATGAAGAAGAAAGGAATTATTAATAGGATTGATTTGTTTTGAAAACATTTAATCCTTAATAAAAAAATCATTCTAGAAATTACTTTATTTTGGGACATCGTT